CTACGCCTGCTGAAGACACAGACGTCCATCCCCGTGAACACTGGGAATGTATGGGAAAGGACATTATTTTTATTTCTTATTTGAACTGTTGCGTATATTAGCTGCTACATATGAATCAAGATGCTATGACTGAAAAAATGTGATTGACAGATGAGCGTTGATATATGATTGGCTGAATTTAGGTGTTCAGGCTGACGTATAACTAACTGGCCTGCATAAATAAAACAGGATTTTTTTTTTTTTATAGAAATTTTCTAAATTCTGGTACAATATGGTCTGATAAAGAATACATTTATATACATGTTTAAGCCAGAATGATTTGACATTTAGATATGACTTCCCTACGACTTTAAAAAAAAATCAATAAAATAAAACTGGAAAAATAAAAAAATATATAAATCAGTCCACGAATCCTCCTTCTGTATTACGTCTTTGGTACAGGGGCCGGTTCTAAAGGAGCACTGGCCCCTATTGGCCCCTGTCTAGACCTTTAACCAATGCTTTCGCTTTTTGTTTTTATGTTTGTTCCCTAATATTAACGCAGATTACACATGAGGAATCAGTTTACAAACTACACAGCAGTTGATCCAGGTGTGTCAAAATAAAATAGATGCATGCCACACTTTTCAGTTCCTAATCCATAACTATGCACCAATCTGCAATATTATATCACAAAAAATGTGTAACCTCTGCATCAATACATCTGGGGAAGTTCAAAGCATGAATGTTTGGAAATCACTTTGTTTGGGTCCAATTAGGCCACCTGTTGCATTAAGTATTCACAGCCATAATCACCCCCCCACCCGCCAAGCCATTGGCAGTGATGCAGTATATGAGTGGAAGCAGCAGTCATCTATCTGCAGCCTTCTCTCTGCCTGCCTTGCCCACACATTAGGAGTGGGCTGTGCAGGAGAAGCAGTGTTGCAGATCTTCCCAACCAGCAGGAAACCAACGGGTTTTACCTCAGAGAAAAATAACCAGCATGGTCACAGTTCCTCCCTCTTTTCCTCTGCAGTGCACTCACCCACAGCGGGGTTTCATCCGTCTCCAATCACCACTGTCGTCCCCCCCACTCCCTCCATCATCTTGAACACCTCGGCCTTGCAGCCACTGATGAGGCAGATGCCATTGCATGGCTCCAACCCGGCCATCTACAGGCCTTTATTTGGATTCTATTGTTATCAACCTTTTTGCACAGATTGTCTTACTTGCTTTCCCTGGCCGCGGCCTCTGCAGCAGCTTCTGCACGGTGAGGAGGTCCTCGGTCTTCACCGCCTGCAGCAGTTCCTGGTCCTTCCCCATCTTCCCTTCTTACTCCCGCAGCATCCTCCAGCACAGCGGCGCTTCAGCCCAGCCTCAGCGGGCGGACGGTGCGTGTTCGGCGGCCGGGGACAGCCTCCCGCCCCGCCACCCCCACCACTAACAAACGCACCTAAATGTTTAGCATCTGATGGGGAGAAAAACCAGGAGCTGGAAACCAGAAGGAGTGATGCTCTGGGATCCCCCCCCACCACCACCCCCTCCACCCCTACGCTCCCAGCGTCACCAGGCAGGTTCGGTGATCCCGGTACCGGCTATCAGGCTCTCCTCATGCAGCTGCGCTCCGGAACGGAAGCCTCACGGAGTCCAGGCGCCGCGCGTGAAGGAAGACGGTGCGATCAAAGAGCGGGCGCGCGCGGAGTTCTTCCCATCGGTCTCGTGCTCCAGGTCGTAAACACAATCCAGCGGTGCCACAGCAGCAGCAGCTGCAGCAGCTGCCATCTCCCCGTAAACTCGAGCTCTCTGAATGGGGGGGGCGGGGGAGTGAAAGGACCACGTTCACGCGCTCGCGCTCCACAGTTGGCTCGGCTTGTACCGTTAAACGACTCGTGTGCGGTAACTCGGGGGCGGACCAGCAGTGGTGCTCCCTCTTTTCATCTCTCTCTCTCTCTCTCTCTTTGTGGCTTTTCCTCCACAGAAGAGCTGCTCAGATTTGTTCTAGAAAACTCAGCCTGTTTATCAGCTCTAGTTGGTTCATCGTCAGCAACCTATGGAGTGAAATTTGCTCCATTATTGTTGCTCATTTTGCAAATGGAAATCTGAAAAATAATCATGCTTTTTAAATGAAAATTGGAAAGAAATTTGATTTAGAAAGGAAGCTTCACACATTTTGATATTCAAAAATGGAGCTTATTTATTTTTTGAAAAAAGTTTTTTGTTTTAAATTTTCAAATTTAATTTTTTTTTCAACTTTTTTTCTGATTGAGTTTTACAAATTTTATACTTTTCAATTCCTGTTTAACAGATTATATTTTCCTCACTTCAAGGCCAATACAGACATTTGACATCCAGGCAGATGAACAGAAATTTGTTTGCACTCCTTACTACGGAAGAGGATTAGGGCCACTGGAAAAAAAAAAAAGTTAACTGATTTTTTTTATTTTATTTCAGTATAGTATGGGAAAAAAGTCAGAATTCTGAGAAAAAAGTCAGAATTCTGACTTTAATCTCAGAATTCTGAGAAAAAAGTCAGAATTCTGAGATTAAAGTCATTATTCTGACTTTTTTCCCATGTTAAACTGAAATAAAATTTAAAAATCAGTTTACTTTTTTTTCAGTTTAACATGGGAAAAATCTCAGAATTCTGACTTTTTTCTCAGAATTCTGACTTTTTTCCCATGTTAAACTGAAATAAAATTTAAAAATCAGTTTACTTTTTTTTGTTTTTCCAGTGGCCCTAATCCTCTTCCGTACCTTACTCTATAGCAGGAGTAACCAATGAAAAATCTGTGGGGTCTGAATAAATAACATGAAAAGAAAAACGGTCTGGAGACACTTTTTCATTTTAAAATCCAAATTGCTTTTGAAGTAGAGAACAAAAATCTTTCAGTTTGGTATATAAGTAGACAATCTCCTGACTCGCTTTTTTTTTTTTTACAAAACAGCTGAACTGACCGTTTGTTTTCCTCTTTCTTTTTTATGGCTTAATTAGAGAAGTGGGCTTTACACTGACCTTTATTACGCTGACCTGCCAGCCCTTATTCTTATTTTTTATTTTAACCGTTGCGTATATTAGCTGCAACATTTAAGTCAAGATGCTTTGACCGAAAAAATTTGATTGACAGATAACCGTTGATATATGATTGGCCGAATTTAGGTGTTTAGGCCGACGTATAACTAACTGGCCTGCATAAGATAACGAAAAAAAAAAAATGATTTTAAGACAGGATTTTTTTTATATAAAATTTTCTAACTTTTGTGACAATAAGGTCTGATACATTTATATACATGTTTAAGCCAGAATGATTTGACATTTAAATATGATTTCCCTACAACTTTAATTCTTAATCAGTATGAATCACAAATATATGAACACAAACCCCAAATTTAACAATAAGTAACAAACTAACAAGAAGACTCACAAATGCATGAGTACAAATCACCAATGAACAAAAACAAATCACAAATTTACAATTCTGAATAAAACATTTACATTTAATTATCAGGAATTTACATGAGTAAAAATTATAAATATACAATCAGAATCACATATTTCCAAACCCTAAATACAACTTTACAAAAGCTAATTACACTGGGTACCCCGGCTTCCTCCCACTTTCCAAAAACATGACCGTTAGGTTAATTGGCTTCTCTAAATTCTCCTTAGGTATGAGTGTGCGCGTGAATGGTTGTTTGTTGCTATGTTGCCCTGTGATGGACTGGCGAACTGTCCAGGGTGGACCCCGCCTCTCGCCCGTAGACAGCTGGAGATAGGCACCAGCACCTCTTGTTTGGGATAAGCTAGATGGAAAATAGATGAAAGTAAAAACCACAAATTTATGAGCATAAATATAAAAACCCTCTGGTGAAGCAGTTACACTCCTTACCAGTCAGTGGCAGTAGCACACCTGCACGTCTTTGAGCAGAAGACGAAAACAAAACCGTTGATCCAAAGTCACACTGCACCGGACTGAAAGACACATTTCAGCAAAGTATAATTAATAATTGTTTTTTTAAATGTGTCTTCTTCCTCTTCTCTTCATTGAAAGCTGGTTGGTGAACAGCCTTCAGTGCCATTACCGCCACCAACTGGTAGGGAGTGTAACAGCTTTATCCCAGCTTATTGATTCAGTTTGTATTTTAGCAGGGTTCTACCATCATAATCTCTGTTCTTACATTTTGTATTTTCTCCGATGAAACATCTGATGTCACATGATTGCATGAGCTGAAAAGGTGTAAATACAAATCCTAAATTAAATTATTTATATTGATTTAAATTTACAAATGTAGACACCGTGGCATTTGCTTTTATTGATTGTTTTATCACTCCATACAATCCAGATTTAGATTCTGATCCAGTTGCATCAACGCCATTTTTTAAAAACAAACCTCAAAGCAATGAGAATCATTTTAGTCAAAATTTTTTAAAAAAATGTAAATAAGTAAAAAGTTTTCTAAGAAAAACCTGCAGGTTGCATTGAATATTTGAAATCCCCCATTGAAGCCTGGAAAAAAGATTAGAATAAGCAGAATATTTAGTCGTTTCTGTATCTGATTTATTTTTGAAAAGGTAGAATAGATTCTTGCTCAGCCAAGCTACATAAATCCAGGTTAAATATGTGATAGAAGATCCCTCTTTTTGGAACCCTGGAACCTTCAACCAAACTTCCTTCACCTTAGAGTAGAAAACGGACATGGAATTGTCCCCATATGTTGTGTTTAGAAACATAATCGGAGGAACGGGAGCGTAGATCTGTGAAACAGACCGTGACTTCTCACAGCAGAATGATCAGTTTTTTCTCTGTCTCCTCCGGCTTCATTATTCCATTCTCCTCTTCATTGTGTGTGTGTGGGCAGTTTGCAGGGCTTGGATGCTGCTCCTGCCTCCTCCGCAAATCCACTGAGTTATATAAGAGCAGCTGAAGAGTAGTCCATACTTTAGAAATATTTAAAAACATGTCTAATGAAAAAGAGAAGCTCACTGCCCTGGAGCTGTGATAACTCATGTTTTAAACTCAGAGCTTTATTTTATGTTTTTCATAACTATTAAAATGTATCTTATGAATTTGCTTCATTTTATTTTATTCTATTTAAGAAGGCCAAAACAAAGAAGCGTATAACATAGAAGTGGAAAGAAATAATGCATGTTTTTTCATTTTTTTGCTAATTAAAAACACAAAAATATGCCAAATATGTGAGTGTCCAATTTCACCGCTACATTTGGACTGAAACCTTAGCTTTTTTTGGTAATTATGAACAATCATATGAAGATTATATATGCTATAAGCCTCCAGCTGGGTGGAACAGATGTGAAAGTTTCACATTTAGACCTGTAATGTGTTTCATCCTTAAAAGCAGCAGCCTGAAAAAAGAAGGATTTCACCAAGAGCATGTAAATAATGAGTAAACATGAAAAATAAGGTGATTAAAAATAAAATGGATTTGATTGTTGATTAAATACGTATCAAGACCTTTTAGCTAGAGCCGAAAGAAGGATAAAATAGGGTCAGTTTGAAGGGTTTAAGATCCCATAGCCACACACTGCCCTCTAGCGGCCAGAGGGAAGAATAACCCTCAGGTATTCGGTGTTGGGAAAGAATACTCCTGTTATTGACCGAATAATTGGAAGGAAATATTTATATTTAATCGTATTTACTATTCATAAGTGGTAAATACAAAGCTTAGATAGAAATGGTTTACATTTTCATTAAACAGCAAAATAGGGGAACTCTCTTTTAATCTTTTTTATATAAACGAGTGAAGTGTCTGAATTATATGCCAGCACTGCTTTTATGTTATTCCAATGGAACCATTTACTACCTCCACAAGTCATATAAGTTATACGGTGTTCCTTAAAAACTTATAGGCTTTGCGGGAAAGTAGAGAAAAATAAAAATAAAAATCATGGTTGGAAAGCATTGGAAGAGATTGGCTCAGAAGGAGCTATTTGTAAACATGGCAACCCTGAGCTGGTCTTTAGGGAAGAGTCATTGCATTCCAAAAAAGTAAAGAGAACGATGCACTGGACTTTGTTACCAAGTTTGAAGACGTTACACTTCCCAGTCGGGAAGCTTTTTCAATTCAAAATGTCATGAAGGCTTTGTTGACTACTGTATAAAGCCTCCAACACATGGATGACTGAGAATCTTCTCCAGCAAGAGTCATGACCGTTTATGAGAATTTGGACTGATTAGGTTTTGTGAAATTGTGAATTGATGCTATATAAATAAACTGAATTGAAATTTTAGATTTTGTACTAGGTATGGTATTGTACGATTGTTAAAAAAAAATAAATCACTCCTGCTGATGTAATACATGTAATAAACAGTTCTACTGTGGTATGGATACTAAATACAAGTGATGTTTGCATATTTTTGCTGTTAATATTAGATTTCTAGATTATTTGGAAATTCAGTTACCTTAAAAATTGCCAAATTTATTTTGCTTATATTTAATTGACTATAGGCGTTCATTCTATTGTGAAAGGATGGTGTAAATGAGAAAGGTGATATTTTTTAT